ACATTTTCTCTGAGAACTGGAACAAGACCATAGTGCCCACTCTCACCACTTCTATTCAACATAGTACTGGAATTCCTATCCAGATCTATTGGAGAAAAGAAAGAAAGAAAGAGCACCCAAGTTGGTACAGAGGTAGTCAAATTGCCACTGTTCACTGATGTTATAATTACATACTTAGGAAACCCTAAATACTTATCAAAAAGCTCCTAGGTCTGATAAATCAGTAAATTTCAGAATACAAAATCAATGTGCAGATATTAGTGGCATTGGTATACACCTACAGCAACCAAACTGATATTTAAATCGAAAACTCAACCCCTTTTAAAGCAGCAGCACAAAAATAAAATAATTAGGAATATACCTAAGAAAGGTGATGAAATATTGCTACAATAAAACCATAAAACATTGCTGAAAGAGGCCTGGTGTAGTGGCTCACCCCTGTAATCCAAGCACTTTGGGAGTCTGAGGTGGGTGGATCACAAGATCAGGAGTTCGAGATCAGCCTAGCCAACATTGTGAAACCACGTAGCTACTAAAACTACAAAAATTAGCGAGGTGTGGTGGCGCACACCTGTAGTTCAGCTACTCAGGAGGCTGAGGTAGGAGAATCGCTTGAACTCATGAGGCGGGGGTTGCAGTGAGCCAAGATCATGCTACTGCACTTCATCCTGGGCAACAGAGTGAGACGCCGTCTATAAAAAAAAAGAAATTAATGAAAGCATAGATAACACAAACACATGAAAACACATCCTATTCTTATAGATGTGTACAATTTGTATTGTAAAAATGATTATACTACCAAAAGTAATCTGCAAATTCAATGCAATTCCCATGAAAATAACAGTTCTTCACAGAACTAAAAAAATTCATATGAAACAAAAAATGAGCCTGCATAGCCAAAGCAAGAATAAACAAAACAAAAATCAACTCAAGATGGATCAAAAATGTTAAGACCTGAAACTATAATAATTCTAGAATATTGGAAAAACTCTTCTAGACATTGGCTTTTGCAAAGAGTGCATGAGCAAGAACCCAAAAGCACATGCAACAAAAAACAAAGACAGATGAGGCTTAATTCTCAAAAGAAGATATGCAAATGGCCAACAAACATAGATAAATATGCTCAACATTGCCAATGATTAATGATCAGGAAAATGCAAATCAAAACCACAAGGTGATACCACCTAATTCCTGCAAAACCAGCCATAATTAAAACATCAAAAAATAATACATGTTGGCATGGCTGTGGTGAAAAAAGAATACTTTTTCACTGCTGGTGGGTATGGAAACTAGTACAATCACTATGAAAAGCAGTATGGAGATTCATTAAATAAAAGTAGAATTACCATTTGATTAAGCAATCCTACTACTGGGTATCTACATGAAGAAAAATTATATGAGTAAGACACTTGCACATGCATGTTTATAGCAGCACAATTTGCAATTGCAAAAATATGGAAGCAGCCTAATGCCCATCAGCTAATGAGTGGAAAAAGAAAATGTGGCGTATGTATACCAATGCATACTGCTCAGCCATAACAAGGAATAACATAATAGCATTTGCAGCAATCTCAATGTAGTTGGAGACCATTATTCTATGTAACTCAGGAATAAAAAATCAAACATTGTATGTTCTCACTTATAAGTGGGAACTAAACTATGAGAATGCAAAGGCATAAGAATTGTATAATGGACTCTGGGTACCCAGCAGAAAGGGCAGGAGAGGGGGTGAGGGGTAAAAGACTATTTATTGGGTACAGTGCACACTGCTTGGGGTATGGGTGCACCTAAATCTTAGAAATGATTACAAAAGAACTTGTCCATGTAACCAAACATCACCTGTACCTTAAAAACTTTGGAAGTATTAATAATTACAAACAAAAACAAAAAAACACAAAACCCCATAAGGTTAACTTTCTATGTTTTGGCTGTTCATTTTTTGTTTAGAAAGGGTCTCTGTCACCAGAATAGAGTGAAGTGACTTAATGAGGGTTCACTGCAGCCTCAACTTCTGGGCTTATGCAATTTTCCTCCCTCAGCCTCCTGAATAACTGGTACTAAATGTGCAGGCTACCATGCTCAGTTAATTAAAAAAAATTTTTTTAGACGTGTTTTTGGCATGTTGCCCAGGCTCATCTCAAATTCCTGGGCTTAAACAGTCTTCATTTCTTGGTCTCCCAAACTGCTGGGATTATAAGCATGAGCCAACATGCCTGACCAGAATTTTTTAATTTAATTTAATTTTTTTATATTTTTGAAACGGAGTCTCACTCTGTTACCAGGCTGGAGTTCAGTGGTGCGATCTCGGCCCACTGTAACCTCTGCTTTCTGGGTTCAAGTGATTCTCCTGCCTCAGCCTCCTGAGTAGCTGAGACTACAGGTGCACACCACCACGCCTGTCTAATTTTTGTATTTTTTAGTAGAGATGGGGTTTCACCATATTTGCCAGGCTGGTCTCCAATTCCTAACCTTGTGATCCACCCACCTCAGTCTCCCAAAGTGCTGGGATTACAGGCGTGAGCCACTGCACCCAGCTCAGAATCTTTAATATGTTATAAAAAAGCTAACTATATTTAGATTTGTTAGCTAAGAGAAAATTTGAAAAAACATCTGTTATTAAATGTTAGAAGCAAACTTTTGGTGCTGCAAAAGAAATAGTACTTGAATGTAAATTTTCTCAGCAAGGCAATATTTACTTTTATAGAAGGGTGCATCTCACGAATGGAGCAATGGCAAGAGCACACCTGAAGAAGGGAGGGAAAGGGGTTCTTAGCCCTGACACAGGTAGCCCCTACTGCTGTGTCATTCCCCTGTTGGCTAGGGTTGGACTGCACAGTCTAAACTAATTCCCATTGGCTGTTTTAAAGAGAGGAGGTGTACAAGCCAGAGTGGTGAGGTGAGCAGTTTGGGCGAGAAATACTTTTATGGAACAGGTGACCAAAGGTGACTCAGGTCAGAGCAGGTGACCAGGGGTACAGATGTAAACTACTGATTAGTACTGGTGAGAAGGTTGTTTACTAAAACTGGAGACATAAACAATGAAGAAGTTAAACTTTAAAATGGAGAATAAAGAATAAGAGAGCTGAATATACTGACATACTGATTCTTTGAAGAGAAATTTAGAACTCACTGTATTTAACATTAAAATACATAAATAAAACAGTTCAAAATTACTTCCTAGGGGATTTCACTAAGAATTAGTTTAAGAGTTAATGTAATTTTATATATATATATGAAAAACTAAGACTACTAGATGTAAAAAAGACTAATTATTCAAAGAGCGTGTTTAAGGCCAGGTGTCATGGCTCATGCCTTGTAATCCCAGCACTTTAGGAGGCTGAGATAGGCAGATCATTTTGAGCTTAGGAGTTCGAGACCAGCCAGAGCAACATGGCAAATTCCAGTCACTGGTTAAAATAAGGAAATAAACCGGGCATGATGGTGCACTCCTGTAATCCCAGCTACTCCAGAAGCTGAGGTTGGAGAATCGCTTGAACCTGGGAGGTGGAGGTTGCAGTGAGCCGAAATCATGCCACTGCACTTCAGCCTGGGTGACAGAACAAGCTTCTATTCGGTCTGGGTGACAGAACAAGCTTCTATCTCGGAAATTGAAAGAAAATAGAGAGTGTATAAACAAAAGAAAAATATGCTCTTGATGAAAAAAGTTAGAAACATTTGTCTGTTTTGAAATTACTTAAAGGTTGTTTCAAATTGAAAAAGTAAAAATAATGTAGATTAAAATAAAATATAAAATGTTAAAAAATGGACCGGCATCGTGGCTTGCCCATGTAATCTCAGTACTTTGGGAGGCTAAGGCAGGTGGATCACCTGAGACCAGGAGTTCGAGACCAGCCTGGCCAACATGGTGAAACCCCATCTCTACCCTCTACTAAAAATACAAAAAATTAGTCGGATATGGTGGTGCACGCCTGTAATCCCAGCTACTCGAGAGGCTGAAGAGGAGAATCCCTTGGACCTGAAAGGCAGAGGTTGCAGAGAGCTGAGATCACGCCACTGGACTTCAGCCTGGGCCACAGAGCAAGACTCTGTCAAAAAAAAAAAAGAAAAAAATTAAAAAATTATAAGAAATTATAAAATATGTATAAAAATCTAGAGAGGTCAAAAAGACCAATGTACTTTATTTTATTTTTCTTTTCTTTTCTTTTTTTTTTTTCTGGGGTGCAGTGGCATGATCTCAACTCACTGCAACCTCTGCCTCCCGGGTTCAAGCGATTCCCCTGCCTCAGCCTCCTGAGTAGCTCAGCTATTTTTTATTTTTTATTTTTCGTTTTTTTTGAGACAAAATTTCACTCTTACTGTTCAGACTTGAGTGTATTGGCACGATCTAGGGTTACTGCAACCTCGGCCTCCCGGGTTCAAGCAATTCTCCTACCGCAGCCTCCCGAGTAGTTGGGATTACAGGCACGTGTCACCACGCTCAGCTAATTTTGTATTTTTGGTAGAGATGGGGTTTCACCATGTTAGCCAGACTGGTCTTGCACTCCTGACCTCAAGAGATCCACCTGCCTCGGCCTCCCAAAGTGTTGGGATTACAGGTGTGAGCCACGGTGCCCGGTTGAGGGACTTACAACGTTTTATCAAATTGGCTTTATTATTGATAATACACTATTAATAAAGTAAAAGTTGATTGTCTCTGGAAAAAAAAATTTATGTATTATTAATATACATAAAATATTTTTGTTCACACTTTGAGTGCATTGAAAAAGAGAGCAAAGAAGAGACAGGATTTTCCCATGCTCTGAGGTGGGCCTGGCTGAGCTCAGGGAGGAAGCCCTGCCTGAAAAGGCTGCAGCCTACGCTGGCACTCCTTCATTCAGTCCAGTGTCTGATCACATCTTCTGTCACTCAGGGCCCGAGAAGGCGGGGTCTTAAACGTTATCTAATCAGGGAAGCTGGACTGGGAACTGTCCAATCAGGCACAAAGCTGGAGCAGACAGGGCGGCTTCCGGGATGTGGCGGGGCCTTTGTCTCTCGCTGCCGCTGGAGCTCTAGGTCCCCTCTTCACTGCTCTGTATCCTGTGCTCCAGGAAGCCCAGCCTATGTGGCCCTGTGACCTGCAGGTATTGGAGATCCACAGCGAAGACGCCAGGAACCCCTGGAAACCTAGAAATGGTGAGAGTGCTAGGTGCGACGTCCCGAGAGAGGGAACGGGGCTGGTTGAAACCGGTGGGAAGCGGCTGTGGCGGGACTCAGGCCTCTCCGTATTCAGCTCCACGGTCTGTGCCCCGAGTTCTCCTTGCCCAGCTCGGCCTCAGTCCCCTTCAGCGATAAGATGGCGGCTGCGCGGACAGCCGGACTCCGGGCGTCCTGTCTCTTCCCTGCTCAGTGACTGTGCCCTGGCCTGGAGCCCTCTCTGGGCAGCTCTGCACCGGCAGCGCCGCGTCTCGTCCAGATTGTGCAGGGACAACGGGAGGGTTGTCAGGGGAGAATCCTGACTCGGGGTGCTGGTTCATGAATAGGAAGAATTTTAGTCCGTGGGCTTCCCAGGGCCTGTTTTTTTCCTATTAAAAATTTATGGACGTCACCTCGAAAATATTAAATAATTTAATTAAAGAGTGATTCAAAAATTTTAGAACAGCCAGCTATGGTTTGTAATCTGTGGTCTATGAAAGGACTTGAAGGAAATATTTTTATAAGGTTCATGATAAAGAACCAAATTCAGTAATTTGTTAGGTACAGTTATGTGGGGTTTTTTTTTGTTTTGTATTGTTTTTTTGAGGAGGAGTTTTGCTCTCTCACCCGGGCTGGAGTACAATGGCATTATCTCAGCCCACCGTAGCCTCTGCCTCCTGGGTTCAAGCAATTCTCCTGCCTCAGCCTCCCTAGTAGCTGGGATTGCAGGCGCCTGCCACCACACCAGGTCAATTTTTTTTATTTTTAGGAGAGATGGGGTTTCACCTTGTTGGCCAGACTGGTCTCGAACTCCTGACCTCTGGTGATCCACCCACCTTTGCTTCTGAAAGTGCTGGAATTGGAGGCGTGAACCACCTCTCCCGGCCTCGTTTCTTAGTTTTTACAATCAAGGTAGAAATATCCTGGTTATGTAATCAGAGCTTAATTGGCATTTTATACTTGGTTAAGCCTAAATTTTGTTTCTGCCAATGTAGTAATTTACCAAAAAGTGCTCTTGAGTTTAGATTTTTATTTTCAGAAGTAGAAATCCGGGGACTAGAGACACCTCAATCTAATTGCCTGCCACTTAATGATTTTCACACTCCACAGGGGACTGATTTTTCCCTGAATTTTTTACATGTGTCCCAAGCAGGGCCTCAAGTCCACCCCTCATCCCCTATTCCTCCAGGCTAACTCTGGCTTGCAGTAAAATACTAAATTTCCAGTTTCATCTGACATCCCCAAATGCCAATTTCTCCTCCCTAATTCACTTTATCAACTATTTGTCCTGTAGTGTACATTTTGATACCTATTTTAATCATTTTTATTTTTAAATGTTGAGACATTTAAAATGTCTCACTACAACCTCTGCCTACTGGGCTCAAATGATCCTCCTGTCTCAATCTCCCAAGCAGCTGGAATTACAGGCGCCTACGACCCTGTCTGGCTAATTTTTGTATTTTTAGTACAGACAGCATTTCACTATGTTGGCCAGGCTGGTCTCAAACTCCTGACCTCAAGTGGTCCACCCGCCTTGGCCTCCCAAAGAGCTGGGATTACAGACGTGAGCCACCGCATCTGGCCAATTAATTATTTTTTTGACAAAGCATTTGATGGCACATTTAAAAAGATTTGTTTTCTTTTTGTAAATATTTCCTATGAGAAGAAAGCAAATAATAATCTCCTGACACTGTATTGTAAAATATCTCTGTGCATTTTTTTCTTCTATTTTCCCTAGACACAGATATCTTATCAGAATGTTTTTGGGTCAGGTTTTCCTTTTGGAAACCTTATAGGGTGATGTGTCTTCAGTCACCCTTCAGTTTTTGCTTGAACCTGGGTTTCAGTACTGTATGGGGATAAACCAAGACACCCACCATGGCTATGTCTGCTAGAGTGTCTAGTGAATATCAGCTTCTGGGTCATATTCTCTCCTAGGACAACCTGAGGTATTGAGTGTAGCTTCTCAAGTGTGCGCGTGGATGCCCAGAGGCTAAGAGGCATTTCCTGGTGCACCTTTTTTTAAAGTTAATTCCTTGAGACATTAATATTGCCTTCACCCAATTCAGCTTTCATTTCTTGGAGACACATTGCTGGTCAGCCAATCAGATACTAGTATTGAGGAGAAAACAAATAATTTCTGCCTCCTGGATTCCTTTAGGGGGCAGAAAAATAGTACAAGAAAAAAAGTAAAAAAATTTCTAGAAAAAAGATACCCACCACTCCAAAAGACAAAAAAAAAAAAGAAAAAAAAAAAAACCAACCCAAAAAACTGACCCCAGTGAGATGGTGTAAGAACTTGCAGAGTAAAATGCTCCTGAGACACTCACTGGGGGCATAGTTCAGAGTCTCCTGAGAGGAGGTTATTGAGCACGTAAGTGAGCATGATGGGGTGGGACAGTCTCTCAAGTAATTGAATGGCCTGACTTGACACATGAGGAAGACATCTGTACCTTGAAAAGCTTTGTTCACTTCTTTTGACCTAAGGGGTTTTTTTTTTTTTCTCTTATTTATTTATTTATTTATTTATTTATTTATTTATTTTTG